GGGGATGCTCGAAGTAAATAATCTTATTCTTTAGGCCGCTCGAGCTGGAGAATGTCAGAGTATCCGTGAAGTCAGGGTACTCTAGTTTTCTTAAGTGGTTTTCATGTTTTCAACCCAGAAGCCCTTGGGAGGACTGCGTGTCCCAGGAACGATCAAAACCAGAAAATCCCAGAGTCTAGCTTTCTTATTCAAAGCCGGCCCGAAACAATGAAAAATGAGGACTTTCTTATTCAGAGCCGTTTTGTTTGGCAGGCCCCAGCTCCTAAGACTCTGACTTTCTTAGTTCAATGTTTTCTTAAGTAGTGCTGTTGCTGCATCTAGGCCTTGACATTACATGAGGCCCAAGCTTTATGCGGGCCGCGCTGCAAGTATATTAAAAGCAATGATAGTTCAATAGTAAGGGCTTTACACAAAGGAACAATGGCAAGCAGAAATAATAGTAGTACTACTAAAACTCACGATCATAAGAGTAACCGACGAAAAAAGCCAATAGTAACAACTAGTGTAGTTATAGCAAAAAGTCTGTCGAGGGTGTTCTAAAGACTCCATATCACAATAATCGTGGTAACGATACCAACGATGATAATAAGAAAGCAGTTGTGACAACAAGGGTGTTAAAAGACAGATGTAAAGGTAGCAAGAATATTGAGCATAGTAGTAAGAATGAACAGCAGAAGAACAGCAGAATGGTAGTAAGCACAATAGTAATGAGAATGCAAACCTTTCATAGTCATGATAAGGCAACAGCTGTAATAACATTAACATTGACAATCATAATGATATCAGTAGCAAGAATATGTCATCAGTACGAATGTGGTAGTTACCCACAATAAGGGACCCCCAATATAGACCCCAGTATACTAAAATCCTTATTATGCTTATGGGAACCCACCGACAAAGGTACCCCTAATTTCAGGAAACCCTAAACCCTAGAATTCCCTAAAGGTACCCCATAATTTTGGGAAACCCACATGTTGAGCCAATAGGTTGGAGGCGACGAATGTCTCTGAATCGCATTCCATGCAGGCGCTGCCAGTGCCACACCATACGGTCTGGGGTTTCAGGGTGGTACGGGGGGCTGTTGGGGATATGAATGGCTGTACAGAGGTTGCATAGGGATGTATGTATATGTATATGTAGTATATGTATACCTATATATGTATATATGTATATACATTTACCCCCAGGGAGAATTGAACGGAAGAGAGCGTGGAACATTATATGTAAACTGGGAGTATATAGGTTTTTATGGGGCTTAGGGTTTCCAAGCATGGCGGGTCTCTTTTTGACGGTCCCTATGACAGGGATGGTCGTATGCTGGAGTAAAAAACGGTACGCGCCCTCTTTAGAAGCGCACCTTTTGGAGTTGGAATCTCCAATGTTCAAGTTCGGGAGTGCAGCTTTAGGGTTTAGTAGGGTGTAATCCTAGCACCGGATTAATTTG